ACGGGCGAGTAAAATTGTCAAATGCTCGCTTCCGACGTGAGTCCTACTCCCGATGGTATGAGCCCTCAACTGCTGAAGCTGAATTCAGCGGTGTGCAAAATTCTGAAAGAACTTTTCAACTGCTGCCCTCGCTAAGTACTAATTCCCAGTGACTGGCGAAAGGCATCAGTTAGTCTGATGCCAAAGGGTAGTTCAATAATACCAGACGTCGAATCAGTCAGGGGAACACTCATTACATCTGTAACAGTATGATACTATCGAAGACAAAGACAACACTAAAATACATGCAAAATTTAAGTCAGATGAGACAATTTAGAAACAAATTTTAAGCATATTACACTTAGGTTAATGCTAAAATATGCATAGAATCGAATCACGTCATGATATGAGACGCTACTTACCGGATCAGACAAAATCACAACCGAAACTGTGGCTTTACCCGCTGTAGGTAGTTGAATATACGGCGTAAGAACAGTGTAACCGCTGTTTTCGACTGACCGCTGTATGTCTTTCAGCTGAAAACAATTATGAGAATGAGAAATTCAACTTGAAATCAGGGATTAACCTCAGACGACGGACATGCAAACGCTATACGTCCAAAACCACTACCTCGACCAACATTGCCGTGACGAATTTCCAGCGGACACTAAAAATGGTACTTTTTGTAATCGCAAAAAAATACCTCAATATGACAACAGTTAGCTCGCAATAATTACCTGTTCAGGGCCGTAGCTGAGCACAGCATTCGTAGCCGATCGACTGACAATAGTCATATTCAGGATGTCATGCCAGAACACTATGCAAAAACAAATATTGACTTTTAACAAGCGAAACATGTGCAGTACCGAGCGATTTTTTCAACTCGCTGACATTCAGGATTACTTTGCTGAAAGGATCTGGAAAGGAACGTCGGCTCAACCAACGAAGCAGCACGAAATGAACATTTACCTTCCCTAGTCGCATCCTTGACAAAAATCGAGTAGCCGTTCGGATCACGAACTACCAACTGATCATCAGTTGCCTTGTGTGACGAAGCAAAAACGGACTTATAGACGGTCTTCGAGCACAGCTCGAAGCCCTAAGCGAAGAAACGTTACACTGAACCCAAAGGCGGTCGACACGCAGCATATTACGACAAAGTGAGACCCGACTTCGTAAGAGTGGATACCGTAATTATAGGTCAACTCGACTACGAAGTGATCGTCCTCTGGTCCATATCCGACCATTGTTTTGCTCCATTTTCCGGCGAATGGTTTAAAGGTAGCAAATCACACAAAATCCGAAAAGGTTTGTTTACAAAAACGAAGTCGAAGTCGCTATGGAGGGCGAAGAGAATTTCGTCTTCTCAGCGACTGGTATTGAATAGAAGAATTCTGATGAAGTCAAAAGTTTACAGGAATTGATACTCTATGCAGCTCTGATTAACTCACTTCTTTTGCGCTGATGGCAATTATCGTAGCTCATGACGTTTTAGTGTGATCCTCAATTATGATTAGAAGATGAAGCTGTAGAGTTATCAGGAATAACTCCTTACACTCAAATCGATACCATGCCGTATATGGCTTCAAGCAGAATCGTCTTCTCATTCCACTGTTACACAAACAAGGTTTAATTTAATGCCAGTCGAATCCGTAACGACCATCATGAGCGGATGGACAAAACAAATACAACTGGAATAATGTTACTTTGACAGAAAGGATGTCAGATGTAAGGTACTGCTGACTGCTGAGGCAGTTCAGACATTCACTGACTTGTCGACAAATTGACTGAGTAACCGATTGAGAGATGGTAGCGTTATTGGCTCATAAACCAATCCGCTAAAGAGAAAACTCTGATAGCAAACTTGATTAAAATATTAGATACATAACGGTCAATTATGTTTCAGCTCAGGCGTTTGTTGTAGACATGTGGTCGGCGAAGGAGCGCAGACTTTGACTAAACGTTCGAATCTATAAATGGATGAAATTCCTGCAGAAGTAAACTCTTGTGACTACAGAATTTCGCTGGATTGAGATTTATTACCCTGATTATGGAAAAGAAATAATAAAAATATTTTATATAAGTGACACAAAAAGCAAGTAACCGTAAGATAACATTTTTTTACCAAAATGACTTACCTTCAAGTGCCATCTTTTTCACAGTACCATTAAAAACGAAACATCTGATGCCACGTAAGTGCTAAGAACATTTTGTGGCAAATCAATAGTAGAGGACAAATATGCATGAACTTTTCAAAGCTTCTAACAGCAAACTTCTGTCATTAGATGACGCAAGAGCAGCTTCATCTTCTTCAGTCGCAAATATCATATGGGCATTACATAAAGATTCTTGTAGGTTTTCAACAAATTTCCTGACCCGTCAATTCACTCGCTG